TTTTAGATGTGTCTCTGCTTTAATGCATCAGAGTCATATAATCAGGCCATTAGCAAGACTGGAGAACTTGACTACAAACTGAGAGGTAATTAAGGCATGCCATTCAGGTGTGGTAGCAGAGATACATCTAAAAGGTGCAAAACATCTGAACCTCGAGGACTGTAAGTGAGAAATCCTGTTCTAGAACGTCCAAGTATGTGGCTATATTGACTGTTGACTTCACAAAACAAATTGGACCAACACCAGCATATGACATGGCACCCCAAACCATCACTGACTGTAGAAACCTCACATTAGACTTCAAGCAATGCAGATACTCATAGTCATACTCTTATTCCCCTTCATCTGTGATTGCGTCACAGGAAGCAGCAGTCTCAGCAGAGATCCTAGATTTCCCTCTCCCCAAACACCTCATCCAGCTCTACTGGAAGGAAACCCAAGGCGCTCCAAGGCCAACCGAGAGACATAGCTCCTCCAACGTGTCCTGGGTCGTCCCCTGGGCCTCCCCCAGGTGGGACGAGCATGGAATGCCTCAAGGGAGGCATCCACGGAGCGTCAGAAAAAGATGTCCAGGCCACCTCAGCTGACTCATCTTGATAAGGAGGAAAGGCTCTAATCTGAGCCTCTACTGAATGACCAAACCCCTCACCCTATCTCTAAGGGAGTGCCCAGCCTCCCTGTTGAGAAAACTAATTTAGGTTACTTGTACCTGGGATCTCGTTCTTTCGGTCATGATCGATTTTCCATGTGGATGATTAGGGTAGTAGCGTAGACCAACCAGTAAATTGAGAGCTTTGCCTTTTCACTCAGCTCTCCCTTCACCATGACAAACCAGTTGAGCGTCTGCATTATAGCAGCAGCCGCAATTATCTGTCTATCAATCTTCTACAGTACTTCATTCTTTCCTCACCCGTGAACAGGACCCAAAGATACTTGAACTCCTCCACTTGAGGCAGTCTCCTCCAAACTAAATGGGACAAACACCCTTTTTCTGGTCAACAGGGCTCTGAAAAAAGCTGACCCAAGCACCATATCATTTCTTCCACCACAGAATGTGTTTCAGCCTGATTTAGGAGATCCTTAAAGTATTCCTTCCTCCGTCCAACAATGTCCTCTTTCAAGTTCAGCAGCTATACCCACTCCCACTAAAACAGTGTTAGCAAAGCACTGCTTCCCCCTCTGAAGGCGCCGGACAGTTTGTCAGAATCACTTTGAGGCTAGTCATTTTCCATGACCTCTACAACCTCCTCCCAGGCCTGAGTTGCTGGCCAGCAACACCCTTGGCATCATGATATCTGTTTGCCGCTTCAAGAGTCCCACAAGCCACTAAAGCTTGATCAGACCCAGACCCTTTAGCTCTCCAACTTTACGTCATCCCTCACTCTTGCTGTCCACCACCAGGTTCGGGGATTGCCAGCATGACAGGCCCCATAGACATGCAGGGAACATAGTTCACTCAGACTCCATGTCTGCAGTCTTCGCCGGAATCTGGGAGAAGTTCTCCCAGAGTTAGGAGTTGGAAGAAGCGATGCAACTCTTTCATCCACAGGGATAAACGACAACACGAGACAGCAGACCTGGCCAGAGACAAGCATACCTACCTCCACCCTTGGTCTCTCCTCGTGGGCCCCTTTAGAGTAGTAGAGAGTCCTGCCTCTTTCAAGGAGTTGGGTTCCAGAGCCCAGGGAATGTATGGAAGAGTGCCTGACTATTTCTAGCCGGTATAGCAACCCCTGCTGCACAAGTTCATGTCCCTTCTCACCCAGTGAGATGACATTCCACATCCCCAGAGCCAGTTTAAGTGCAAGTGGTTTGGGTCCCTGAGATCTCCCTAACCCCAGTTCTGGCTTGATGGTGGGGCCGCTGCTCCACCAGACCACGTTAACAATACATGCCTTGATTTCTTCATCATCATGGGGACCTTTTGAACTGCTCTTTGTCAAGACAAAGACTGGGCACTTAAGCCACTCTATCACGTTAAGGTGGGGGTTCAAGCAGGGGACGATATGGATTCTTTGCCTCTTTATTTTTTTATCCCGACTATTAGAGCTTGATTTGTAAATTAAATACAGAATTAACTAATTTACCTTAACAGATATTTAGAACAATTTGTTAAGTTTTAATTCCTTTCTCTTTAATTCTTCTGACACCTCTGGTTTAGGAGTGCTTGACAGAAGAAGTAAATCATTTGTAGCATACGTGTAGGGTTTTTCTGTGCATAGGGACTGATTCCAGCCTTATCCTTATAAGATTTTGCTTGACAATCCTCTCAAAGCCGTATTTTTTCCTGTTACTAATGTGAATTTTCCTATCACACTTCTTCCTTCCACTTAATTTTCTGTCAGTATGTTTGGATACATAACTTTGTAAACAACAGTGCCATACACTCCTTGTAAAGGGTGATGATGATTTCTTATGGAGACCTGTTAAGTTGGAAGTCTTGTGGCCTGTGGATGCAGAGTGAAAGAAAATCTGAAGGCTCAGGAAACCTTTGCCAGTGATTTCAGTTAATTAGCCCATCAAGGTGTGTTTTTCAATGAGTGTCAAATAATACACCTTTTCAGAGCATTTTAGATTTCTAAGAAAGCAAGTTTTACACTCTATTCCTGATCTTCAAGGACTCCAAAAGGTGGCAGTAAAATTGCAATAAGTGGGTGTGTTGCAGGTGATGTACCGAGGTTATTGCACAAATGTTACAACATAAGACATCCAAACCGGTTTGATTTCACCCCATTAAAATGAGCAGATTGCATATGATACTGGGAATTTGAGAATGGGCGTAAAATAAAGATGAGATTGGAAGCCATGTAGTTGGAAGTAATAATGACAATAGTTATTTCAACAACAATAATTGTTTAATATTAAATAATATTAAAGAATAATATTAAATATGAATGATGGCACACTTCCCTTAGGTAATCTATCTCAACTATGAACAATTGTAAAAAATAAAATGATGAAAATGGCTAAAATCAAACATGAGTTGTCAGATTTACAGCAGATTATGCTCTAAAGAGCTGGATTAACCCATAACTACTTTTCTCAACAGCTGCTTTACCCAGTATAGCCTACTGGTAGGTCCATAGTGGTTTAATATTAATAAAACAAAACCTTCGTACAAAGCCTGTAAAAGAAAATATTGAGTGTGGAAAATAACCCTCTTGCCACCATTCAATTTTATTTTCTATAACGATGCCACAATATCTATTTTTTTCACGTGGTAAATGTTTGCATCATACATTCACCCACAAATTTGCAAACTTTACTAAGTAGAATATGATATGCACATTGATAATGGCACACACACAAAAAAGGTTCAATATGCTGTCTACTGAATAGCAAACACAAATCACTCTGCACCTTCTTTAAGATATGCTCTGTCAATACAAAAATGTTTGTAGCCTACCTGTTTTTAGGCACACAAACCTTTTGAAGATCAAACCCTATAATTAATTAATTCCATAGAATACACGCGTTTCACTGGTTTAGATGACTGGAAAAAATACCGCCCTTTTACACAATACTTTAATTGTTTTGCATATAGCAGATAAGAACAGATAGACAAACTGGTTAAAGCTGCAGTCCTATGCCTGTGTGGTGCCTACAGTGTGAGCTAATTTGCAGCAATTGTCCCTAGATGGGTTTTTATGAAGAGTATGAAATTTTATGTCTTACATATTAAGTGAATACTTCATAAGTTTCTTTTGTAAAGACTGGTCTAAAACATGCCAGCTACTCTCTTCTAAAATAAAATCAAATGTTAAATCAGAACTCTTTTGTGTTATTTTTAGAATTCATCGGGGTTTATGGGGGTTGACATTAATTATATACTGCCTAACAATTTTACAGAGTGGAAACATTTATAAAGTAAAGAGAATTGGCCAACCCACCAAACCCTGTGGTACTCCACAAGAAAGGTATATCATTATGATTAACAAACTGGAATCTATCGTACAAAAAAGGATTAAATCAACAAACTCCTGTTCCCTCGATCCCTACAGCATTTCAAAGCCTTTCTGAGTGAGTAACTTGATCGACTGTTTAATGCAGCACAGAGATCTAATATTACTTATAGAAGTAAGTCCATTATATAAAGCAATGAGAATATTAGCATATCATTTGTAAGATAAATCAGTAGAACAGGTTCTGTTCAACGATAAGCTCTAAGACCTGGCAGAAAATCTTCAGACTGGTAATTAATGTTTAATTTTTTCAGATGTCAAATGTTGCCATTGACATGTTAACATAATCATGATAAAAATTGCAAAAGATAAAGAATATTTGTCTAACTTCCTCTCTTCCGTAAGATATGGCTGCTGGCTGGTCGGTTCGATTGGGGAAGTGAGTTTCCAGAATGTAAATCTATCTATGGCATATCCCTACAAAATAAAAAAACAAAAAAAGCATTTTTTTTGTACTGTAAGTTAAACATATTGCCAACTTTAAAGTGCAAAAGCATATTTCTCTGTTCTGACCATGTGTGACCTCCCCTTCATGAATATAATCAGTCTAACATTGAGTGGGTCTATACTCTTCAACATGTCACATTACATGGACACTACACCTTGTTTGCATAGCCTAACATTAATTTTAGATTTAATACATTTCTATTCTGGTGAAGTTATTCAATTTTAACATGCTAGAAAACTTGCCAGAAAAGAGACTCATATCAACCTCGTTGGTTTATTGCGCAGCATGTCCAAAATAGCTTGCTTATTAAACTATATTTAAAGAATTGCTTTAAATAGAAAAGTAGAGTATAAAAGATATATAGGCTATACCAGCTGATTTAAATTATTGTGAAAGTAGCGTTCATTGAGTCTTTCCTAACAATTACCGCTAAAAAAATAAAAATAAAATAAACATTAATTTTTAAATGAAGATAAAAATAATTAAATACATCTGAGAAAACTGCAAATAAGTGTAAACAAAGTTAAGGCAGAGCAGCTCGTTTGTGAATCGCTGCGGCAATAAACGGAGCTGTACAGAGGAACAGACATTCAACATCCGGGCAACAGTAAGCTTGCGCAGAAACGGAATGGCGGAGGTAAGTAAGCGAAAACGAGGAATCTAATGAGGCATAATGTTAGAGAAACTGAGCTGAATTCAGAGCGTATGTCAACCCTGACGGCACCCGGTAAGAGCGACGGTATTTCCGGCTGCTGAGCGGCGGCTGTAAAAGAGCTACGGAGGGTTTTTAGCAGCGGGGAGCTGAGGTGGAGGAGAAACGGAGAGCCTCCCCGGCGTAGATCGTCTCTCTCCGCGTTCCTGGCGTTAAAGAGCCATTCTCCCTTCTGCCTTGATAATAGGGCTGTAGAAAACAATAGGGACCCCGGGGCCGCGCTGGTGCTGAACTATTTCCAGGTGCGTCTTCTCGGCGGGGTGGGTCGAGTTGAAAAGTTTTGTTGACATGACATGACTCAAACTTCCACCGTGTCTCTCGGAAACATTAAAAACTAGTAGTTTCCTTCTTGCAGTGAGCCGGGTGGAGGAAGAGACGTTCAGCACCAAGTCACAGGAAAGCGCCCCTGGTCAGACAGCGCCCGATGGGGCTGGCATTAAAAACGGCTTCTTACTGCACTTTATGTGCATTTTAAGTTGGTTGTGCAATTTAATAACTGATGGCACTTAATCTGATCAAAGTATTTGGTTGTTAGGCTTCCTTTCCCTAAATACCTATCATCCAAAGTTTTTTTTTTTTTCCTTTTTAGTTATCTACTCTCCTTGTAAATTGAGTATAACACAGGCCTGCAACTGGCTGTTGAGGCTGCATAAACGTGCATTTTAGAGAGCACCCTGTTAAACTAAATTTTTCTCACTTTCAATTAAAAAAATCAATTCTAGCTCTGTTGTATTTTTGGGGGAAACATGCTTTATGAGATCAGAAGAGAGTAGAATAGAATTTAACTTTATTCTCATTGCACTGTCACAAGTACAAAGCAAAGAAATTAACTCTGCATTTAACCCATCACCTTGGGGAGCAGTGGGCTGCCATCATGCAGCACCTCGGGGAGCAGTGTGGGGTTAAGGGTCTTACTCAGGGACCCAGAGTGGAGTTTGTTGAGATCGAACCGGTTACTTGCAACTTTCTCAGAGCATTTATGTGCAATACTTTAAAACTCTAGTATCATTAATTAATTATAATCCTCCATCCATGCATCCATTTTCTGACACGCTTAATCCCAAATGGGGTCGTGAGGGGTGCTGGTGCCTATCTCCAGCTGTCCATTTGGAGCACCTTCCACGAGTCACACATCTCTGCCAAGGGGATCAGCCTCTCATCCGCTTCACAGCCTCTCAGAGATTCAACCCATCACGCCAGCGCTCAATCAGCGCAATGCCCAACTGACTGTAACTTGCCGTCACCCTGTAGACTCATCGGTCGAGCCCTGCCTAACCCTCTCTACAGAACAGCCTCCTACCGCTTTGCAGTCACCTTCCCCCCTACAAGCTCCTGCATTTCCCACCTACGGACCTCCCCCGTCCCGCTCACTCCCCTACGGTGGATTGTTCAGGTCTCACGCGGTAAGCCTTTTTGTGCTGTAGTTCTCATCTCATGCTCCCTTCGTTTCGACGCCCTGAAGAAACTCAACGTGTCGTCCTTGTTTTTTGTTTGTTTGTTTTTTTTATAATCTTAAATCTGCCCTACCTGTCTCCTCAGCATGTTCAGAATGTGGGTCAGAGAACAAGGGACCATGACAGATGTTTAGCAGAGGCAAAATACNTAATTAATTATAATCCTCCATCCATGCATCCATTTTCTGACACGCTTAATCCCAAATGGGGTCGTGAGGGGTGCTGGTGCCTATCTCCAGCTGTCTACGGGCGAGAGGCAGGGTTACACCCTGGATAGGTCGCCAGTCCATCGCAGGACAACACAGAGACAAACTGGACAAACAACCATTCACGCACAGACTCACACTTAAGGGAAGCCAATTAACCTTAGAGCCATGTTTTTGCACTGTGGGAGGAAGCCGGAGAGAACCCACGCATGCTCAGGGAGAACATGCAAACTCCGTGCAGAAAGACCCTGGGCTGGGAATCAAACCCACAACCTTAACTATTTTTCCTGGATAAAAATAAATAATAAGATGCTTTAAATGATCAACAGAAATCCCAGTATCAGTCCTACACAGGATATCAGAAGTCTGCACACCTCTGTAAAACTTTGTAAAACTCTGTAAACTTGTTTGTGTGTTTTCAATAACTATGCCAAAATTAATGACTAACTTAATCACTTCATCTTCAATAAATACAGGCTGGCTATGAAAGTGAAAAAAATCTTAAACAGAATCTTTATTCAAGAAGCTATTTTTTTTATCACAGTTTTCTCAATGACATTTAAAGGCACATTGCCGACTTTGTGACCTAAAGAGTAGATGCATATGAGTTATTTTAAATGATTCCTAAGGCCAGTATACAATGCTTGACACTATCAGTGCTTCAAGTGGGGCTCCCTTCTTGAAATACCAAATATGTAAGTTTGGAGATGACGGAACGTCGTTGGACAGGTCATGTTACCTGGAAGAACGTATCACTTTATGGCCACAGGCTCTTATATCATCATGGAGCTAAGGCTTTTGCTCTACTATTTTCCTGCCTACTTGACTATTGGTCATGGCTGAGGCAAGGAAGAAGTTTAAACATTCTGAGGACGCTAAAAAGAGTAGCTCATGGAAAGAAGTTTATTCGTTGGCGCCAGCTGAAAGAAAAAGCTGGATGTAAACCCGATCCACTTTTCTCGACTTTATTCTTTGACTGGTGATTTAAACTTTGCTCCTAGTATACAGTCATATATCTTTGTTAGTATTTTCAATGTTGTCAGGGTGCTGCGGTGGTTTCTATGCCGGCGCACTCTTTGTTTTTCTCCTATTGACTATGTGCGGTTGTTCAGCTCCGAATCCCATTTGGAGCACCTTCCACGAGTCACACATCTCTGCCAAGGGGATCAGCCTCTCATCCGCTTCACAGCCTCTCAGAGATTCAACCCATC